AAATATTAAAAATTAATATTATGAAAAATTACTTTTAATTTCAAAGTTAAAATTTTAATTTAGTGTCTTAATTATTGTATAAACTCTTAATTTAATCTTTAAATTCAAAAAAATTTTAATTTGATTTTTAAAATTAAAAAGTTTAGCCTTTTTTTCCCCTCTATTAATTTTTTACTGAGATGACATGGTAATTAATTAAAAAAAACTTGTTTTTCATTAAATTAAATACATAAAAATTACACTATGTTAATGACATGGACAAATTGACTTGGACCATACTCTGTGATGGAATTAAAGTCAAATGAGCATGTTCAATTTGATTTGATTTTTTAATTCTTTGATCAAATTTTCTTCATTGGCACTAGAAAATAAAATTTAGGGTTGAACTGAGCTCGGGAGATCTTGTTTATTATTATTATTATTAATTTTTTGTGATTATTTAAGTTAATTAAGAAGGCATAACTCCTAATTAATCTAAAATTTAAATATAAATTAGATTAGAGTAAATGTAATTAAAAATTTAATTATTTGAATTAATTACATTAATTGCTCATAAAGTGGGATCCACTTTTTTAAATGAATTAAAGATAATTTTGTAACTAATAAATTTAATTACAATGTTTAATTATTCGAGATTTTAAAAATTAATAATTTTTTTTATTTCAATTGAATACGGAGAAATATATGTTTATTGGGTGGAACTCATATGAAATGCTTACTGGTACTATGTTTTGGTCCATCTATACATCATCACAGTCCCATGTCATCATTTTGTCAGCATGACATATCCATGTAATTCATTTGAAGATAAAATAATATTTTGCTGTTAATTAACAGGCCAACTCACAAAAAAAAAAAAAACCGTTATCGGAGGAAAAGAAAGCCAAAATTTCTAATTTTAGGGACTAAATTAGTAATTTTATTAATTAAGGAATGAAGTGGGGCTGTATAATAATTGAAATACCAAGTTGAGCTTTAATCATAATTTAATCAAGACTATTTTATTTAGAGATTGCTTTGTTGTTGTTTCTTTTGTGCAGATTTATTT